TTGTTGAATTACTACTTAAAAACGGTGCAAATGTCAACGATCAAAATGATGATGAAGAAACTGCGTTGTATTTGGCTTCGAAAAATGGTAATGCAATTGAAATTCACTTTAGCCACACTTTCTAAATATAGAGAGTAATATTGGAAATTTCAATTTGGAATCTCATTTTCACTCAGGTCACTCAAATGTAGTTGAGCTATTGCTTAAGAATAGCGCAGATATTAATTTGAAAGACAATTACGGATGGTCACCAATTTATACAGCTTCTGTAAATGGTAAATGATCATATTTAATTACTTAACATTATTTTTTTCAACATGAATAGAAGAAAGCGGCATTTTAATTGAAATCCATAGAAATTTATATTTTGGCGTTTTAAAAACTGTATAATCAAAGTGTTGGGTCCCCTGTGATTCAATTAATCACCCAAAATAATTAAATCTCTTTTTTCTCTAGGTCACTTAAATGTTGTTGAGTTATTGCTTAAGAATGGCGCGGATATTAATTTGAAAACTAGCTACAGATGGTCACCAATAATTGCAGCCGCTCAAGAAGGTCACTTCAAAATCAAAAAACTTCTCCACAAAATATAAATTACACAATATTTTTTGAATTTTGTAACAAAATCATTTCCATAGGTTATGACGGAGTTGTTGAAGTGCTACTTCAAAACGGCGCAAATATGAACGATCAAAATAATGAAGGAGAAACTGCCTTATATATGGCTTCGGAAAGAGGTAGTTCAATTGAAATTCACTTTTGCCACTCTTTCGAAATATAGAGAATAATATTTGAATCTCATTTAATCTCAGGTCACTCAAATGTAGTTGAACTATTGCTTAAGAATGGCGCAGATATTAATTTGAAAGATAACATTGGATTATCACCAATTTATGCAGCTTCTGTAAATGGTAAATGATCATATTAAATTACTTTAAATGCTTTTTTCTTCAAATAACGTAATGGAAGGGAGCGTATTTGAAATACGGTATTTCATATCGAAATGTATTAACAAAAGAACATGAACATTTTATCAATTCAAGGACATGAACGTGTTGTTGAATTACTAATCACAAACGGTACCCTTGTAAATATCAAAAATAAGGACGGATTTTCATCAATACATGGTGCTGCAGATAACGGTGATTCAAAGTTCAATAAATTTCTCCAGAAAATATAAATTATAAAACATTTCTTAAGCTTTGTATCAAAACCATTTCCATAGGTCATGACGGAGTTGTTGAAGTGCTACTTAAAAACGGAGCGAATGTCAACGATCAAAATAAC